CTTTGTAAATTATAATTATGAATAAAAGGAAAACAATAATCCACATCTAAAAGGAGTATATATTTACATGTTGAATTTTATTAATTAGCATATAGATTATTGTTAAAGGGTGCTTACAATACTATATTCAAAAATATTTATACCAAAATGTATACATCAAAAACTATTTACCACACATACTCTTAAAGTATTGTTTGGTTGGGGGAGGGGAGGGAAAGGGAGCCCCTCCTCTCCCCTCCCTTTGTCCCATCAAACAAGGGAGGGGAGGCTCCCCTTCCTTGTTTGGTTAGGTGGAGAAAAATTTCTCCTCTCCGAGAGGGGGGAGCCCCCCTCCCTTCTCTTTAAATGAAACAAAGCCTAAATCAATGACTTAGTTTACATCAAATCATTTTTTTTTTCTTTTGACAACACGACTCAGTTGAGATAATAGCCAATTATTTAGGCATCATTTTTTTTATTTTATTCATTGAGTGGCAGTTTTGCCACCCTATTTACTCCCTTCTCTTACCCTATTACCCCTATCCCTTAAAATGTATATTTTTCAATTACTAGTTTTTAAAATTAATAATATATAGTATGGTGGTCAACTTGCTTGCATGGTATAGTATATAGGAAGAAAAAATATGTATATATATATATATATATATCTTACATTTTTAATATATAAATAAATAATTTTTAAATATAATTATACATATATTAAAACAAATTATATATTTGTGCACTTTTTCATTTGTGAGTACTTGTAAAACAAATCATATGCCTTTCTCTTGTCCTGACAGAGCTAGCACTTGTAAAATGTTAAATAGAGGGGTGAGTACAACTACTCAATAACCAAGGTTAATCTAACTTATACAGTTGTAAATTAATAAATTATAGATACAAATGAAAATTAAATAACTTCACGGGCATCACACATATATTTATAATTATAGTCTTGGCCATAAACTAACAACCATGTGACCAAGCACTAATGCATATTGTCGCATTTTATTTCAAAGTGCATATCTCGGGGTCACAATAATAACAATCATGCACCCCTAATGAAAAATACTGGATCACAATAATAACAATTATGTGGTTAGAAATATAATGCAGGATAACTGATGCTAACCTTATACTCTCTTGATACCTCCGACATGAAACTGGTAATATTCAAAAGCTACATCTAAAACTCAAGCTAATCAAACATTCCATTAGTGAGGAGCTATCGAGCTAGGGTTAACTTACTTACTTATATTATGCGATTTCTCCCAATAGTAACAACCATCGGGTGTTATGCCCTTAATCTAGCCTCCTTGTGAACTAGTAGAGACTAGTTAAGTTTGAGTCCTTAAAAATAAGTGGGACAATCTCAAATCAATTATGGGACAATGGCCACCTCCCGATTCCAACAATAAGCCATCATTACCACGTAGGTTTGCCAATCTACTCCTTCCTATAGGCAAACTCCCGTCATAATGATCATGACATGCACAAATAACAAGATGTATGCTGTTTAAATAACAGTAATCACATCATATCATGCTCACATAATTCTCTTTCTCTACTATAATCCACATATCACAATTGTATTCATCATACTCCACATGCCTAATATCACATGTTCATCGATTTTACAATTACATGCTTTCATTCATCAATAATCATATGAATATACATATGTAACATTCTTAACAATCTATTACAATCTCACACATATAATTCATCACGTTGTTGATATTGCATTAATGGATTCTCAACTACCCAAATAAACTTTCAAATGAATTGGTTCAACTAATAAATAATTAACATACAACCACACAATGGTTTTACTTCGATTACCTAAAACTTTTGAAAGGTTAAAGGTTACCTCTCAATCATAACTTACTTGTCAAACTAAATTCAAGCTCACGGTGGTTGTATGAGGTTAGACTGCAATTATATTAACACCCATTACTATAATTATTAAAATCACTATTTTTAATATCTAATTTCATACTTTAATAATTAAATTTCTCAACAACAAGATCAACCTCACATTCAATAAATTCCTCAACTTTCATTAATTTCATTTAGCCTTCAACAACTTAAATAATCACTAATATATCATCTAACAATCTAAAATTATCATCAATGTCACAACTTCCTCACTTTCAACTCTTAAATTTCAACACTTTAATCACTCAAAACTCTCAACTCAAGGGTTTTTTAACCATCATATTAGGTTTATTAACTCCCATTAGCTCAAACTAATTTCATCGAACCCATCTACCATCACCAACGACTTCAATAATCCTAACTTTCATCACTAATGGCATTTAAATGCACAAATTCGTTCATAATTGAGAGCCCACTCTTATGAACTCATAAGACCATTATATTTAAATTTAGATAACTCAAACAACTTCTATTAATTCCATTTAGACTAATGAGTTTGAATTCATAGCCTTACATTTGAAAATCATCATCTCGCAACTTCAAATCTTACTTTTAAAATGTATAGAGAGAAGAAAAAGGGACAACAAAGGCATATTTAGGTAAAATAAAGCTTTAATTACTTTCAAAATGTATTTAAAAGTTGATGCCCCAATTGTGAGAAGACTCTCTTCGTTACCCTCCCTCTATTTTTGGCTTATTTCTCCCTGTTTGGACGTTTTTTGTGTTTTTAAAGAAAACTAGTTCTGAAAATTATGTTGCAATATGAATTTTATGTTGTAGCATAATATACAGTGGGTAAAAATTCAATTTTTTTCTACAATTAAGTTTGAGAGACTTAATTCACTTTCGAACCTAATCCAAAAAAATTAAAACTAAACTCAATAGCCGTCTCTAAACTTCTCAAATTCATTTAATTTAAATTTATAAATTTATCCTTCACTGGCTTAATTAATCAAAGAAATAATTTTTGAAATGTTATATACCCAGGGGATGCTTTTGATATACTATTCATTTAATGCAATTGTATATTTTAAGATTCAAATTCAAGATCCTAAATTAATTGATCAAACTATCTTAACTAGTTGAACAAGAACTTCTAAATTTCACTTTTGTTGTCACAAGTGAATCTTATTATCCAATCTTACATGCATAATCTATTGTTTCTACTCAAATTAATTCAATTTTATATATTTAATTAGTTGAAATATATCACAAATATTATTTAAATAAAAAGTATTAAATGAAAAAAAATATAAAAATTAAATGAACAATATACACTTCGAAATAAAAAATTTTAAAAAAAATAATTAAAAGACTTAAGCATAAACCTAGTTATACATCTAAATAATTATATTTATATCTTTCGCCAACTTCAACATGATACATAAATGCATAAAAATCAAGGGGGAGAATGGGGGCTTGTATTGGCAAAAAAAAAAAAAAAAAGAATCGGGGTTTGGGCTAGGTCGGGGGAGATGGGGTATAGGGATAATAGGGTTCGGGAAGGGAGTAAGTAGGGTGGTAAAATTGTCACACTTGATCAATTAAAAAAATAAAATAAAATTGAAGCCGCGTTGATATCACCTCAACTAAGTTGCGTGTGTCGGAAAGGAGGGGGAAAAAAAAGTGGCCGGAAATTGGTTTGATGCACTCCAAGTCATTAATTTATAATACTCTTCCTTTTAAATTATAAAATATTTTTAAATAAAATTTTACATATCAATAAATCTTATTAAATATACTTAATAATTTTATTTTTTTTAAAATAAAAATATAAATTTTAAAAAATATTCATCATTTAGCATATTCAAAGAAAAAAGAGACGAAAATTAATTATAAAAAGAGGAAAGATAATATTAAAATTAACATATTTAATAAAATTTTAATCTAATTAAAGTATCTTATATTTTAGAATGTAGAAACTTTTTTAAAAGTGCCATATATTTGGGACGGAGTTAGTACTATGATAAATAATCATTAATACATATTTCTCCGTTTAAAATGTTAGGTATTTTAGCTTTTCAAGGTGTGTAATCATTATTTTTTTTAAAGTGCCCCCTATGATAATGACTTTATATTTATTATAGAGTGTTAGGGGTAAATATGAAAAAGATATAATTAGTTAAAAGCATGAAATTACTTATTGAGAGTGAGATTCATTAAAAATATTTTATATTTTTAAATTGAGGAAGTAACATTTTGATAATAAGTATTTGCTAATATAGTATGGTGGTCAAAAAGCCCATATTAACAGTTTAATATTTTATAAGTTAAAAATAATTTTCAATGTCATTTATTGTTAAGTTTATTAAAAGTAATTTTTTTAAATTATTTTTAATAAATTTAATGAAAATTTAAAATAATACTGTTTTTAAAAAAAAAAAGTTATAGAAAATATTAATAACATATTAATGAAATTGTAGTTTTTTTTCCTAAATTTTTTTTTGAGCAAAAGTAGCTTTTCCTAAATTAAAAACTAAAGAATGGGGGAGGGGAAGCCGATGAAACGATCAAGCCCTCAACTTGGCCAGAGAATCTCGCACGTCGCACCTCATTCGTGGTTCCTGAAGCTTCAGATTTTGATCCGCCAACGATGGCCGCCAGACCCATGGGCGCCACCAGGCAGTTAGCTGTGTCTTCCCCTTCCACCACTGCCACAACCACCATAACCATTCATACCAGTGATCCATCCTCTTCGTCTCAGAACCAATCACAACAACAGCATCAACAGGCCGAAGTCCTTTTCCTTCCCCTTAATCGCAAGAAGAAAAAGGTCACCTGGAAAGAGGGCACCGTGGATAACGAATTTATGCAGAAGAAGAGCTCCAAGAAGTGCTGTATCTTTCACAAACAGAAACCCTTTGACGAAGACGATAGCGATGAAGATGACGAGCACGGCGATCATCCTGATAAACATCCCCATGACCATGGTGATGGTGGGTGCTGTTCTGCGAATCATGATCAAGCTGGTCCCAGCGATTAGGGTTATAGATTTATAACATTTTTTAACCATTTATGAAATATCAATCAAAGGTTTTTTTTTTTTTCTCGTCTTCTTTTTCGTTAAGAAAAGGTTGAATGGCCTACAAAATTCTTCATATTTGAGCCTCGGATTGTTCTGTATATTAACCTATTGAAGTTTTGTGAAGAAAGGATTATATGTTTAGTATTCAAGCAAGGATGATATGTTCGCTAATTTTTATGCTGAAAACTGCAAGATCATTCCCTTTTCTAAGATTTTATGGAAGGCTTTTGTTATTGAGCAATGCGTTGTTATTATGTTCTCATGAGTGAATGAACGTAATGACAGAGTGCAAGCATTATTTTGAGAATAGATATGAGTGTTTGATATATTCAGGAAACTATGTTGTGCTATGTTCAGGCACTAATTTCTGAGAAGGTTTCCTTCAATGTTTGCTCCTGTTTTAGTGCATTTTGCTTATCACAATTTTAGATGTTATCGTGTGCTTTAGGGCATTCTTCGTATCCTTTTGTTTTATTGGCCTATCATTCTTTGTATTTGAAAGATCTGTCCTTCGCTCTCGCTTGCATATTTTTAGTTCTGAATCATCATGATTGCCTGCTGTTTTTTTTTAAAATTAGAATGAGCTTCATATTCGCATGAAGCTTAAGATGTACAAAGCCCTAAATGAGTCGCATTTTCATGCCTCATGGCATTTGAATAGTGGAGCGCCCTATACTTTTTAACATTTTTCATGGATTGGTTATTGATTATACCTTTTCATTTTTCTTGTTTAGTTTTCCCCCTGATAATTGATGTGCTGGCTGTAGCAAGAAGCTTCATATTCGTATGAAGCTCAAGATGTACATTCTTCATGCCTCATGGCATGTGACTAGTGTGGCGCCTTATATTTTTTTTTATAATATTTTTTCATTGATTGGCTATTGATTATTCCTTCTCAGTTTTCTGGTTTAGTTTTTTCCCCTGATAATGATATGTTGGCATTAGAAACCATATAGTAAGCCCATAGCCTTATTATTTCTTTGTAGTTTGTTGTCACTATGCGAGTTAGTGGCAACAATTGTTATTACTCTATCTGGACAATCTTCCACTTCTATTTCAGTTCAATGCTGTGTTCTTCTCACTATAGATGAAATGTAGATCTTTTTTGAGAGTTTCTGGCATATGATTAAGGAGGTGCTGAAAGACCTCACTACAGTGAGGAAAGGGATTAGAAGTTTCTCTTATGCTATGAGTAACAATTATTAGTGTGTTCAAACATAGAATGATAAGAGTTAGAAGCGAGGAGAGAGATTATACTCTTTCTCTCTTAAAAAAAAATTGCAAATTCTTTTGTTGGATCATTTATTTAGAAGCAGGTGAAAACTGAAATAAGAAAAGTTTCTTCTTGCTAAAAGTCGTTTAATTCATTTAGGATTGGGAGTTAACTGCCTAATATCATTTTTCTGTATTCCATTCATTGCATAACATTCTTTTTCTTCTTTTTGGTCTTATAAATATTTTTCTTCTGATATCCTGCAGTGTATTTTCCTCATGGAATGAATAGGAGCATTATTAGTTTATTTATTAGTGAAGATTGTGCACGTCAATCTATTTCTTAGTAAACTAGTAACTGTAACAGATATTTACAAGTCCAAGGTCATGAAGATGAAAATTGAGATCTGATAGCATACCCCTATTTGTTTCTCGGCACGAGTTTTCTTAGTTGGAAGCATGTATTAATGATTACTGAATATTTGATTCAACTATGATCTCTATTCAATTAGAGTTAACTGAGATTTACCGGAAACTTCTCTTACTGTGGCTGGTTTTATTTTACAATGCAAGAGCAACTAGGAAGCACAGTAGAGCTCAAGATTTTCACTTCTCTGTTCAACTTAGTAGTTATTGGGTTTCCTTTTGCAGTACCTATTTCTTTTTGGGTGACTCTCATTCTCCACCTTTCTTATGGAGTTGTGCTCAGCATTGTGGATGTAATTATTGTGTTAGATACAGAGATCTATAGGATACTGTCATGGTATTGTAAGTAGGTGCCAAAGGTGATTGATTGAAGGAATTCATTATGAGGATCATATTTGCTGTGTTGAGTGATACCTCTGCTTCTGTTGGTGAAGAGGATGCATGAAAAATTTCAAAGTTAAGGATGTATTTGCTTTATTTTTTATGCTTTCGTGCATCTGTGCAGTTTTTTTTGGGGGAATAATAGATGGTCTTGCAATGTTAAGAGACTTAGAGGTATATTATGTGGTGAACATTGGATATGTGATTCGTTAACATGATGTTGATAACCCTTCAGTATTCTATTACGTGGTTTCTACATAAGTTGGTCTGTTACGCGGATCTATCTTGGGAAAATCACACTAAAGGCCCTAAGGATTAAATGATTCTAAATTCATTCTGCAAGACAAAGGAACTAAAATGTATTCTCTACGTTTTAAATTATAAAACATTTTTAAAAAAGATTTAATGTTTTAAAATATAAGATATTTTAATAAAAATAAAGTTTCATTAATAATGTTTTTTATTATTATTTTTTTCATATATTCTTTCTTTTTAATATTCTTTTATTAATAGAGTATTAAATAAAGGGTATCTTTGAAAGTATATTTTTGTCTTGAAAAAGCAAGGTTGTAAAGTGTATTTAATGAACTTTATTAGTATGTGAGATTTTTTTTAAAAGTGTCTTATAATTTAAAACGGGGGTAATTAAATTTTAATGTGAAAAGATAAAATCATTTCTCATTTTATAAGAAAAAAATTTCATTGTCACTGGCCATTGGAGCTCCAGTGCCGGTCACCTGACTAATGTGGAAGACAAATTAATTTTTTCTTAAGGTAGCCAAGGGGAGTTTAAACCCACATCCTCCTCCTGACCATCAAAAGGATAACTAGCCACTAGGCTATCAATTCTTTTGAATTATGTAATTTAAATCTTTATATATATTTTAAACTTTGTTTTTACTTTTTGTACCAATACTTATTAGAAGTTTAATGATTACTTGTTATTTTATAAATGGATATTTGTTAAATTATTAATGAGACTTGTTGAAAAATTTAATATGCATTGATTTTTATAAATGTTTGCTTGTTTTTATTATTAAAAATGACAAGTCTCCATTTGTAATTTAACAAATAACTATTTATAAAATGACAAGTTTTATTACTAGTTTTGAAAAATTTATCTTGATAATTTGACCAACAAAGTTCTCATTAATAATTTAACAAGTAACTATTTGTGAAATAACAAGTTTTATTACTAATTTAAAAAAAATTTAATAACTTGATAAGTAAATTTTAGTAAAATAATAAGTTTATATAAGCTTTTAACATATAAGCTTTTGGCAATAAAAATAGGTAACATTTATAAAAATTACTCTATATTAAATTTATTTAATAAGTCCTTATTGATAATTTATCAAACAACTATTTGTGAAATGATAAGTTTCATTACTAGCTTCAAAAATTTCTCTTGATTATTTGACAAGTAAATTTTAGCAAAATAATAAATACACATAAGCTTTTGACATGTAAACTTTTAGTAATAAAAATAAGTAGACATTTATTAAAATCACTTCATATTAAATTTTTTTAACAAGTTTTCATTGATAAGTTAACAAGCAACTATTTGTGAAATGACAAGTTTCATTACTAACTTTAAAAATTTCTCTTGATAATTCGATAAACAAGTTTTCATTGATAATTTAATAAGTAATTATTTATAAAATATCAAGTTCTGTTACTGGATTTGAAAAACTCTCCTAATAATTTGACAGGTAAATTTTAGTAAACTAACAAGTTCATATAAGCTTTTGACATGTAAGTTTTTGATAATAAAAATAAAAAAATGTTTATAAAAACCACTCCATGTTAATTTTTTTAATAGGTCCCCATTGTTAATGTAACAAGTAACTATTTGTGAAATAATAAGTCTCATTACTAACTTTAAAAATTTTTCTTAATAATTTGACAAGTAAATTTTAGTAAAATGATAAGTTCATGTAAACTTTTGACGTATCAATATGAACTTGTTACATGTACAATGCAAATCTTGATATATTTTTCACTTTGTTTTCACTTTTCATACCAATATTTGTCAAGAATTTAATAGTTGCTTATCATTTTGCAAATAGCTATTTATTAAATTACTAATGAGACTAGTTAAAAAAATTTAATATGCACTAATTTTTATAAATATTTACTCTTTTTTATTACTAAAAGTTCACATGTCAAAAGCTTATGTTTTTATTTTGTTAAAATTTACTTGTCAAATTATTAAGAGAATTTTTTAAAACTAGTAATGGGACTTGTCACTTGACAAATAGTTACTTATTAAATTAATAATGGAGATTTGTTAAAGAAATTTAATATGAAGTAATTTTTATAAATGTTTACTTATTTTTATTACAAAAACTTACATGTCAATAACTTATATAAACTTCTTATTGTACTAAATTTTCTTGTCAACTTATTAAAAGAAATTTTTAAAGTTAGTAATAGAACTTATTATTTCACAAAATGGTTACTTGTTAAATTATCAATAAAGACTTATCATTTTTGGTAATAAAAACAAATAAATATTTTTAAAAATTAGTGCATATTAAATTTCTTAACAAGTCTTATTAATAATTTAAGAAGTAACTATTTATAAAATGATAAGTAACCATTAAGTTTTTGATAAATAGTAGAATGAAAAGTAAAAATAAAGTTTAAAATATATATAAAAATTTATATTATATAATTAAAAATAATTATTAGCCTACTGGCTAATTACTTTTTTGGTGGCCAAAGAGATGTGGGTTCAAACCCCCTGGCCACCTGTAAAAAAATTTAATTTGTCTCTCTAATTGGTTTGGTGACTAGCGCCAGAGCTCCGACAAGTGGTGATAGAGAGAATTTTTTTTTAAAAATTAGGAATAGTTTTATTTTTTCACACTAAAATTTAATTGTATTTTGATCCCTTGATCCTACAGAGTGAATTTAAAATCATTTGGTTCTTACTAGTAAATAAAATCCTCCACAGTTCATTCGATGTGATTTTTCCATCTTCCTTCACGTGCAGATAAGAAGATGTAATAAGACCTGAAAGCTTGGTTTACAATTTGGGTGTGAGCTTTCATTTTGTGTTTTTAACCTTTTCAAGTTTCTGGCCAAAATTTTGCTATACCAAACCCAAAAAAAAAGAAAAACCCCACATAGGCAAAGGGGCCTGCCTTCTCTTTTGACCGTTGAATTACTATAAAGGGATGCCTTTTGTCCTCTTGGGTTCATGATATAGCAGAATAATAATAATAATAATAATACATTACTTGTGACTCCTTATTGACTTGTGTTGGCATTAAATAATAATAATAATAATAATAATAATACATTACTTGTGACTTCTTATTGACTTGTATTGGCATTAACATTCATGATGATAATTATTCATCAATCCACTTGAGTTTCTCTCCTATAAAATCAAGCAGAACACACAAAAATTGTTTGATTTTAATTGCGGTAAAAATAAAAATATTAAAAAAAATCTCAAATCGCATGGATGTCTAGGTCAGACACAGTACTCACAACACAATAGCACATGCTCCTTTCTCCTCAAAGCTTCTACAACTTCAATGGGATGAATGTCACCAGTAGCTAGAACATATACATACAAGATGGACCCCAAAACATTCGATTTTGATCCAATAATACTGGATACAAAATAACTTTATTAGAAAAAAGAATATACACGCAAATTCCCGTGCATATCGTCTCTAGAGGAACAAAATTCTCTACTATACATATCTTTGTGTATATTGATCCAATAAAAAATAACAACGTGAACAAATAAAAAATGAATCACAACCAATAACAGGTCATCATATGTGGAAGGAGGAGCTTAAAATGCAGTAACTATGGCTCTGTCAAATAACTTTCTTCCATTAGTCTGTCAACATCCCAACCATCAACTTTTCAAAAACTAGAATCATTTCTCATTATTTGGAGTTGGCTTGACCATTAAGCCAAGGGTGTTCTAAGCACTGTTGTGCTGTTGGCCGCTTCTCTGGTGAAAAATCCAGAAGGGGGCAAATAAATTCTGAAAACTCACGAGCATCACTCTCTGAAAACTTGTATTTATCAATCAAAAATTTGTCAAGTGGCCAGAATTTCAGCCTCCTAATTCTTTTTAGATCCCCATGCCTGTCAAAGAAATCCCTGGATTTTGCTCCACTAACGGCAACCTGCATCCCACAAGCATTAGGAATGCCACAATAACTTCAAGAACTATGCTAAGAGAGTAGAAATATGAACATTCACCTTCCGGGGCATCTTTCCAAGGAGTTCCATCATCAGGGCAAGGTGGTCCTGACGTCAACACAATGCACAGCATTAATGCAATCAAAACCAACGTTTAATTTACCACTTAAACTAAGAATTTGACAATAACTCTTCCCTTCTCTTTTCTGAACAAATCAAAGAATAATACAGACATCAGAGGAAAATTTCAGTATGACTCCAACCAACATTTCATGAAGTGTTTGGATGGAGACTAGAGTAGTATGCTGATGTTCGATTCCACATGGGGTATGGGGCAGTATAAGATGCTCATTAGGTAGTTAAGTGGGTTAGTTCTCCCACCTTAGTAGCTAGTTGGAAGTCCACTTGAGGGTCTATCAATTGGTATTAAACTAGTAATTGACAGCTCAAGAAAGGGTCATCTATAGGGAGTTCTGATTACTGAGAAAGTTGAGTGAAGTATCGAAAAATGAAACCCTCATGACATTGAATCTACAAAGGCAGCCAATTGATGGAGACCAAGGTAAATATGAGATGCATAATCCCCTATTAAATAGTATGGGATGCTCTATGGGATTAAGTAGGATGGTTCAACCACCTTGATAGCTATCTTCAGAGAAGGGTCCCCCACTCCACTTGGATGCCCATCATGTTCTAATTAATAACATCTATTAAATCATTTTAGATGTGATTAAGTAATGAGACTCCACTGGTTTGAAGTCCATACAGAGCTATTCTCAATTCATCAAGAAGTTTTTCCTCTTGTATGAACATATGAGCATAAAATTTCTATTCAACTCTCAAAATTAGTGAACCCAGATACTTCTATATTGCAGTAAGCAAGTCTAAGGAACCGATCAGCCCATGCACAAACAATATCATAATTTTACTCATGCATGAAATAGGGAGATAATATTTCTACTAAACTAGAAAGTGCAAACCATCATACCTCATCCTCACTAAAACCTTGTCCAGACTTGGGAGTAAACATCATATCACCCGTGGCGAGCTCAAAAGCAATGCAAGCAAAAGACCACATGTCAACAGAGAACGAATACCCAGCCTGCAATATAACTTCAGGAGCTCTATACTGCCTTGTCTGGATTTCTTCTGCAAATGGCTTATCTGCCCAGCATGCATTTCCAAAATCGACTATCTTGCATTGCACATCAACTCCATCAACATTTCTGTCGGGTTTTGGAACCACTCCAGCTTCTCCCAATGATGAAGTTCTTCCTGATATTTTAGCAACTGCCCTTCTTGCTCTCCTTTTTAGCTTTTTCTCAATGACACTTGAAAATCCGACATTCATGCTTCCCTCAGGCCTCTCCAGAATCGGGCTTTGTCCAGATCTAAGAGGGTCTTTAGCAGGATCAATGGTGGATAAGAGAAGGACATTTTCAGGCTTTAGGTCTGAGTGGATTATTCCAAGTTCTCTATGCAAGTAATCCAAACCAATCAAAATGCATTTACAAATTTCTCTAAGTTTATTCATTGGGAGGCCTTTGTAATGTCTATATCTGATCAGACGAAGCAAGCTATCACCAAGCATCTCAAGGACCATGCAATGGTGCTGCCCATTTGGGCCTGAGTGCTTAAAGTGGTCGATCAATTGGACAACACACTTTGAATTTGAAGGGTCGCCCTCAGCAATGGATGAAAGAACATTTATCTCATGAAGGGCAGCATCGGCAAACTGGGCTGCACTTTTCTGAATTTTGAGGGCAACATATGTCTGAAAACCACAAAGTTCACATTAGAATATATTTGATGTAAGCAATAAAGGTCCACCAAATAAAATAAACTTAACAGGACCACTGGCTGGTGGCAAAATCAATGATAGTACATGCATATGTGTTTGGCCACTATAGAAGATGTTTTATTTGAACATGGATACATGAAGAAAGATCATGGATAAAGGACAACGCTTGGCCATAACTCCTGCACTAGTGCATGAGGGATCGTGCATGACAGAGGACCCATCCCACCTGGATCAATGCCAAATTCAAGCATCGATGCAAGTTCTACATCAAATAAAGTGGCCTGAGGTAGCAAAAGTTGTAAATCCATGACCCTGGTGATTGTTCGTTTTAAAGCCTCTAAACACTCTGTTTTGCCTAATCCAAATAAGAATTCAGATCGACATTTTGGTGAATATAGGTACTGAAGACTCAAGCATCAATTTTAGACTGAAGCATAGCACAAATAAATACTCTATAACCGTTGGACATGGATCTTCTGCTGCCACCCAGATCTGCTGCTGCAGCAAAGCAGCAAAGGATCCAGATCCATTAGCATCAGCATGTAATGTGAGAAGCTAACATGCAGACAGCAAAACCAGGTGACTGCATTTATGATGACCATCGGCCATTTTTAGTATTCCAACAAGCAAAATTTGTGTTCTTGTGAGACATGTTGACAACTACATACACCAGTTGAGAAAGAAGGTACAGTAGAGTCACTAGATGAAAACAAGATCTGCCAGTTATCCATATTTCCATCCCAAAACCAATTAATCTACGTTCGATTCGTTCAATAGAATGATATAAATAAGATAGAAAAAGAAATATATAAAATGCTTAAAAGCTACGGTAATGGAAAATCAAAACACAGACGCAGAGAGAAAAGAAAATGCAAAAATAAAATCTATTACAGATCAAAACAAAATAACTGCAGATGTTGGAATATGGATCAATACAGTGTCGGTGGAAGAAATGTCAAAGGAAGATCTAGGAACCTTCACCATTGGGAAACCCAAAAAAAAAAAAAAAATCAATTTATTGCCTCTGCCTAAATAAGAATACATATGCATCAGCAACAAAATTATTCATCACTCTACTCCTATAGATTCAAAACAGATTGCATCAACAGAAATAGTGAAGTTTCACATCTGGGACACGAATCATACGCCAAACCAATCAAAAGATGAAGGACAAGCGACTATTAGTAGGAACAAACATACACAATACCTCTCTCTGAAGAAACTATTAGTAGGATACGAAATTCAGAAAATACAGCGGGGAATAGAAAAGCGAGGATCAAACATACAGAATTGCGAGTATCGAATGCGAGCCAGACGGTAGAAAACTGACCCCAGCCCAGCTTTCTCTGTGCTATGTACCTCCCACCGGCGAACTGATCGCCAACCCTGACGGCGTGGTACCCTCCCTTTCTGTAGGAATCGAAGCCCTCATCCTCTTCCTCGGACCCTGATGACGACGAGCAAGACATCTCTTTTCAAAAGTTTTCTTGTAAATTATCCGTAAAAAGAGTCTGATCTGAATCGAATTAAGAAATGATTTGACTGTTGATTGAAATTGCCTGGACGTAGGATTTCTAGGACTTGACCAAATTTGAAGCTTTGATTTGGGGAAAAGGAAATAAAGAAGGAAAGAGAGAAAAGTGCCAATATTTGTGAGGCGTGACAAGAGAAGCTCTTCAATCTTTCCACTTTTTTCTCCACCTTCCTTCCTTCTTCGCTTCTTTGTCTTGTGTCTGAATGTGGGTCTTACATTTACCGTACATACCTATTTTCAAATCTCACCTGGGTACGTGTATCTTTACAGTTATAGCCCTGTGCCCAACAAATTCCACATATGCCGTGTCTGCTCCTTTTGTTTCATACCTACTTGTATTTATTAACACGCATGATGGCGATTATTAGCCAAGATTTGTTCTTAACCTCTGATGACCCATCTTATGTAGTGGATCAATTTGTTCTTTATTGTTTTTCACAAGTTTTAGGATGAAAATATTTAGCTCTTGACCAAAAATCAATTATAGTAAGAAGAATTTATGATTACTTGTTTTTCGAAAACAAGTTACTTAGGATGAATTATTCAAAGAAATGTTATGAATTGTTTTCCCCCTTTGAAAAATCTTCTGACCTGAATTTTCCCTTTGAAATTATCTTAAGCAGGGAAATGCTAACTATTGCTGACTGAGACATTCTACGACCTTTATTTTCATGAGAGAAGACTCGCTTTGAATGCTATGATTGTCTATTTCTTCTAGTTCGGAAAAAAGGGGGGGGGGGTTATAAGAGAATCAAAGATTAAAAAAATAATAGTCGTCACTGGCTTTGGGACATCATCAACCTTTTATTTCATGATTCAACAATTACTAGTTCACAACAACATCTACTATCCAGCTCATGTGATCCCTTTGAATTGTATGGAATCTCAGACAAGACTAAAATCCTCCCTTAGATGGTATTAAGGGCTGGGATTTCATACTAGACCAGACTGAAACTTGTTTGGACTCTAAACAACACTGAAACCCTCCCTTCGATTGTATAAAGGGATGGAATACATTGACTAGACACGACTGAAACTCTCGTATGGAATTGAATCCCAACAAGACTTGAGGGAAATCGTCCATTGGATTGGTTGTGAACAGAACAGCTGAGAATCTAAAGAGGACAGGACTGAAAACTCCTGTAAATCCAAACCCAACTTCACGGCCTGTTGTGGGTTAATAGTTATAAATATCAAACTGCAAAGTGATATGTTTTCAGCCCAATTAAGCCTTAGGCGCAAAAATCTCCGCCAAAGAAGACCAAGTTCCTGAGACTGCCACAATGAATCCAAAAACCACAATTGCACCATTACAAATCATAGATCTCCAACCCAACTCTTCCTTGAACGCTAAATAATAGAACATTGCAGGCAATACAAAGCTCAGCACAACACACACACTGCTTCCTACTAGTGAAAGAAAATCTGCAAAATTTGGCACCAAAAGTGCCACCAAGCTGACCCCTAACACCATCAACCACCTCAGCCACAAGCAGTACCTAGAATCACACAGCCTTCTTTCCACAACTTCATACACAGGGTTCATCATCAATGGAAAAGTGAAGAACAGGTTGATACAGAGTCCTAATTGAACCAGAGTGCTCACTAGTCCTTGTCCCAGATTGGTGGTGATGATATCTTTGGTTTCATTCCCGAAAGCAAAGTAACCAAGAGCACCAAATGCTCCAAACAGAAGAGAAATCACCGTCATGCCCAAACCTAAGACTCTTCCAAATTTCTCTTTGTCTTTAGCCTCTGATTCCAACGGCAAAATCATCCCAATTCCTTCAAAAGCATAGACTGCTACACCAACACCGTAGAAAAAGACAGAGAAACCCCCAAATGCTTCTAAAGCGGGTCTATGCTTCATAAAGACAAACACATCCTCCACCATAACTACACTCTTCGCTGCTATATCGACCGCATCAGCGATTATGCTTAAAGGAGCCAAGTGGGTCAAAGTTCGAATTGAATTCAACCCTAACTGAAACGGAAAGCAACCCCAGAGAAATAGGACTTTCGGGGATAAACTTAAAAAGGGGGATGTTTGTGTGCTATGGTTAACTAGATGTGCTAGGGTGTTGGAAATGAAGATCAGGTAGCTCACGCAGAACCCAGCTTGAGAAAGAACGATCATGGCGTCGACGGAGAATCTGCCGATGGGACCACAGATGGCGAAGCCTAGATCGCCGAAGGAGTTGATTTTGGAGAAACCAGTGATCGATTCGAGCTTACGGCGAGTGTAGACCAGGAGCATCATACAGTGATAGGTGAGAAAGGCAACGGCGAAGATCATGAGTAAGCCCGTGACCCATCCCGTTCGCTTGAAGCAATAGGGCAGACCAAGGACTCCAGCACCTACAATGGCGATGAAGATGTTGGCGAAGGTCTTGAAGTTGGTGGAAAGAGGAGGCGATTTCGTGAGAAGAGGAGTATCTTCTCGAGGGTATGGTGGCAAAGAGTAGGACGATGAACTTGCTTGATTCTCAAACCCCATTGGACTGGATTTCTGGGTTGTATTGTTGAAAATCTATGAATGGCTGCTTTTGATTTTCAATGTCCAATACTGAGAGAATGAATGGTAAATCTGTAGAAGGAAAAGGGGCAAAAAAAAAAAAAAACAAGAAGAAGAATGGAATTCGGAATCGTACAGTGAGCAGCTAACAAACAGAGAGATGATCGTGGTTGGAGGAGAGGAAGGCAAAAAAGCTGAAGATTGGGATGAGAGGAAATCTCGTGAGGAACGTGATATGATGATCACGCTCCAGATAGGAGGAAGCCAATACGAAGTTGGATGGTGGGCTAAATTTAACAAGTTCGATGAATCGTTGAGCGAAGCAGTAAACGAGAAGATACTTTGATCAACATTTATTTATTTTATATATATATATATATATATTGGCCACGTGTTTGTGATATATTTAATAATTAGTAATATCAAGTTGTCGACAAGTTGTCAATGAGTTAAAAAAAAAAATCAAATATTATAAATTATAAAATTATGAACAAATAAATTGCCTGCTGATACGTGACAGAAGTGACGTGAATTTCCCCATCATACACTTTACTTTGTAAAAATATTAATGTAAAATGAAAATCTCTGAAGAGTAAATATGGAAGTTTGAATGGTAAATTTTCCAATTTTTTTATTACATGAAAATTTGGTTTTTTTATTAACAAGATGCTAAAAATATTATACCACTGTTTAGAATTTTTTTTAAAAAAAAGTATGATAATTTAAGATAACCTTTTTACCAAAAAAAATAATAGCTTAAAATAGCCTTTCAAACTATCTTAAATCTATTTTTTGTGATCTCTAATTTGTGAGATCAATGATGAAATGATTTAATAAAAAAAATACTTTTATTAAATTATCACAGTCTCTCTCAATTTTTCATGTTCCTTCATTTTAAAAGTGTAAGAACATAATTATAACGCATTGAAATCTAATAATTTTTAAATAACAATTAAAAACAAAATTATTAATTATCAGCATAAAATTCTCAAATAATAAAGTGTTTCATTTTAATTATTACACTCTGTTCCGTTTCATTACATAATAACCCCTACAATGTTATAGTAAATTAATGGCCACTGGACCAAATGTTGTTAAAATCACTATTTTACGGTTTTGCATTTGCATGTTTGAATCTGGTTAAATCTTATATCAACTCATCTAAAATCTAAAAACGTGAATTTATCTTGATTAACATGAATTATGTGGCCTAGTGCAATAGTCAAGTTTTTAAAGACTGAATTTTAATAGATTTAACATTATAAGAATTAGATTGCGCAAAGTCAAATTTGAAGACTACATTAAGTTTTAAGGACTGAATTTCTAATGAATTAAAAATACATTGATCAAATAATTAATTTTTTATTTAAATGTATTTAAAATCTTGATTTTTTTATTATGATAATGACGATTTCTCATATTTATTGCGCGCACAGGCATAGTCACACAGCCACACACATTAATTTATTTGTAATTCTATGTCAGAATCGTGAATTGTGAATTTCTACTTCTGATTTCTGAAGAATCAATAGTCAGTGTAATTTTAAAATCAGCGAGTTGTTGTAATTTTTCTTAATAGTATAATACAGATAATAATGCTCCATTCATTTTAAATTATAATATATTTTTTAAAAAATTTTATCTTAAAATATAAGACACTTTAAATAAATTAAAGTTTTATTAAATATACTAATTATAATATTATCCTTCCTCTTTCTATAATTAATTTCCGTTCCTTCTCTTTTTAATATATTAAATTATGAGTATTTTAAAAAATTTATATTTTTATTTTAAAAGATAAAATTATTAGTTATATTTAATAAAATGTATTGATATGTGAAATTTTATATAAAATGTCCTATAATTAAAATAGAGGGAGTATCATGATGCTTTGCAATACTTTTGGGGAACACCATCCATCTTGCTTTTCTTTTTTTTTTGAAAAAAAAAGAATCCAGCACATTTTTCTGGTGCATTATAAAATGTTTATCTCTAATTTTAAAAAAACATAATCTTTAGTCCTCTAATTTTATCGGGCTTTTTTTAATTCCTATAATTTTTTAGTTATTTTCAATTCTATAAAAACTAAACCCATTAAAAAAAAGAAAACTATAGGAGAAGAAAATAAAGATCACTTAATCTTTTTAAAATTATAGAGACTAAAATATTAAAAAAATATAAGAACTAAAAATAAATTTGATAAAATTATAAGGATTAAATATTATATTTTTTTCTTAATTTTAAAACAAATAAATTATTTTCGAGACAATTAGACGATGAAGAATTCAAACGTTCAGGAGCTTCAGACACTTTAAAGACAAATTCAAATTGAAAAAGAAAAAGACTTCTCTCCCAATTGATTCCAGAGAATCTTCGCAAAGTGTATTCTCTACCATCTTCATTGGCCCCTTGATTTGTTTTTTTTTTTTTTAAGAAATTGACATAAATTATCAATGACGCTTAAAAGACTTTCAAAGTTATAAAACTTCCGCAAAACAGAGTTAGCACTGTGCTTTCAAACTACTACTGCTACTAATACTTTTCAAAGTCATCACAAGGGTTCTTAAAATTATAGATTCAAAATATTTGTAATATTTCAATAAAATTGCCGGATACGTAGAAAATTATTTATTCTCAGAAGTACATTATTTATAAAGTATGAGTAACGTCTCAGGCTTGTACATTGAGAATGACAAGCTGGTAGA